TGCTAGATCCCATTAAAAAAATAATATAGTCTCTTTAAATTTTTGGTGTGTGTGGCAACGTTTTTATTAAATAAGAATAATTACAGAACCAATTTTACATTAACAAACAAACTTAAAACTAAGCATGCAGTGTAATAGAAGGAAAGTATAAATAAAAAAAATTAAAATCAAAAATTACTTATATTAGGTAATTTATATTACTCATTTAAAAATAATATTTACCTTATTTTTTTTTTTTTTTTTTTTTTTTTTTAATGAAATATTTCTTCGCAAAAAAACTGCATGTAAGAGAATTAGCATAAACAAAATACAAACATCGTTAACTTTTTTTTTAAATTCATATAGGTGTGTAAACTTTCAATTTAATTTTCACCCCATAGTTTGAGTTCGATAACCACATTACTTAAATATGATTATTAAGTTCAATCTATTAAAACATCTAAAATAAATATGTATTTTTAAATTAATTAATAAGTTCATCTCATCTCTCTTTAAAATTGCTACTTCTCAAATTTCCCATTAAAAAATAGACCATATATGTACCATATAAAATAAAATAATTAAAAGATCGGCATGGAAAATCAAACAAATTTTCAAAGTACTTTGACACCTGTAATAATGCACACAATCGTCAATTAAAAAAATCCACAATTTTTTTTTTTTATTTTAAATATTTTAATAAACCCAAAAAATAGCACAGTATTTATAGGGTGAAGTTATAAAAATTTGAAGAACTAATAAAAATAAAAAAAAAAAAAAAAAAAAAAAATCAAACGAATATTAAATTTCATTTATCAAAAGCATTCGATAGTCGTGGCTCAACGATAACCATTTAGTTGCACGGCGAGGTTGTCACATATGCTTTGGTATACAAATGAATGAATGGTTTTATTCGAATAAAACTATTCGATAGTTGAAATCATTCATTCAGTAACCATTCGATAGTTCCCATCGCTAAGTAGGTGCTTAAGGAGAAACGAAATAAAATAAACTGACTTGGTTTCACATTGTGTTGCGAGACTTGGCATTTTTTTACATTCTATGTTTTTGATGGGATAACTCTTAGTGAATACGAATACACAAAAAATCTATGGTTTAAAATTTATGAATTTAACATTCATAAAAATTCCCAAGAAGAATCGGCTCTTTAACATTAATTAGATGATAAAAAATACAAAACCCGTAAAAATCTTGACAAAAAATCATCGTAAATATTTCGCTATTCCACACAGCCCAAAGCAACGACTAAGTGCTATTTAATTTTCACCCTCTCTTTCTATTTCAGAAACATGGAGAACTTGGAGAACTTCTACCACATAGAGACGGGCGTATTCCGCAATTTGCGACAACTCCAAACTCTGTAAGTAAAACTTTTATTCCTCCCTGTTCTTAAAGTGGATGCATATTTAATATCGCTTTGCTTTGAAGTGGACCCTCCTGTCCCGAGGAATACAAACGATATTTGTTTTCCTTTGCCCTAACCTTTTAGTAATTTATTCCCAAATGCTACAACAACGAATTTTGTTTGGTTTTATTGTATTGTTTTGAGATAAGACAGCGATGTTTTCATCGGTATGATTGTTTTTATTGTAATTTGGAAGCTTAAGGTTTTTGAAATATGAATGGTGTTTGCAGGACTAGGACCAGGAAATGAAAATAGTATTTTGTTTTATTAGGAGTAAAAATGATACTTTTTGTGGTGAGGGGTAGGCAACTCTGATAGTACTTTGAAGAGAGACGTGAATTCCCCTTTGAATATTGGAATAATATACTGGGTGTTCCATTTAAAATAAAAGAGTAACTTGCTTTTAAAGGAGACCAATGTTCAATATCATTTTTTTCTCACCCTGTATAATTTTTTGAGGCAAGTTTTAATTTGATTTATACATAGTCGTTTAAACTACATATATTTTTGTACAATAGTCATTTAAACTACATATTATGATATACTGGGTAAATTCCAATTTAAGTAGGTTTTATTGAAATTCAAAAATAATTGTTCTTTATTTTTAGAAAATGTTAAATATATCAAAAATCTTACATTTTAGCCATATACTTCTCTAATAAAACTCTTTGATATGTAACTTTTTTTGGGGACACCATGTAGAATTCTCTATATTTTTAAAAAGTGCTCCGAATTGACCTATATATGCTCATAAAATTTCATTTCAATACAAACTGTCGTTCTCCTTGGAGCCTTCGCGGCGTATGAGAGGTATGTCGTATTTTATGCCTACCCTGTATCTCCAAAACTAAGCATTTTAGGACATGACCGTATACGACTTTTTTACTTATAAGTAAGTAAGTAAGTAAGTTTCCCGAATACAATTCTGACAACCCTATATCTTTTCTAAACAGACGAACAATCAAATTGTAGGTAAGCATGATAGTTTTATTTCAAAATCACAGAAAATATTTATCAACTCTCTAAAAAAATATAGAAGTAATATTTCACTCTGAATAAAAAATAAAAACTAATAAAAACATGTTTGGAAATATTTTTCTTTATAATCTAATAAAGCATGAATCATTGTTTTTTCGATATAGACTCGCTCAATAATAATTCTGCCTTTCCAAATTTTTGTTATTTTTCATAAACAAAAAAAAATATTTGTCAGACCTATAAAACTCCGTTTTCTTTCCTAAAAAACGTAAAACAAAAGAAATCTACTTAACAATCCATTTTTGGAGGGTTAAATTGATATCGATTGGTCTTTAATGGAGGTGGTATATAGGCTAGGTCATAAGACAAAAAGGGTTTGAAAATGTACGTTTAATAGATTAACACCATTCATTAACTCCTACTGTTAATTCGATTGTGTAGAGATTAAAATAAGAGCAAGAAAAAGTTAAAATTAATTAAAAAACGGACGACCTAATGGACGAGTCAAACTACCAGTTGACTATACTGTGTGCGTCTCAAAAGTGGCTCACCACGGTATATTATAATTAGTTCAGGAACCGAGTCAGTTTTTTCTGAGCAGCGATTTTGTTAATGTTAACTTAGAAGTTTGATTTTATTCACAGCTTCAAGAAACTGTAGACCTCACAGTCAATCAATAAATCGATAAATCGATAAATCGATAAATCGATAAATCCATAAATCAATAAATCAATAAATCAATAAATCAATAAATCAATAAATCCATAACTCAATAACTCAATAACTCAATAAATCAATAAATCAATAAATCAATAAATCAATAAATCAATAAATCAATAAATCAATAAATCAATAAATCAATAAATCAATAAATCAATAAATCAATAAATCAATAAATCAATAAATCAATAAATCAATAAATCAATAAATCAATAAATCAATAAATCAATAAATCAATAAATCAATAAATCAATAAATCAATAAATCAATAAATCAATAAATCAATAAATCAATAAATCAATAAATCAATAAATCAATAAATCAATAAATCAATAAATCAAACCAAATCAATAAATCAATAAATCAATAAATCAATAAATCAATAAATCAATAAATCAATAAATCAATAAATCAATAAATCAATAAATCAATAAATCAATAAATCAATAAATCAATAAATCAATAAATCAATAAATCAATAAATCAATAAATCAATAAATCAAACCAAATCAATAAATCAATAAATCAATAAATCAATAAATCAATAAATCAATAAATCAATAAATCAATAAATCAATAAATCAATAAATCAATAAATCAATAAATCAATAAATCAATAAATCAATAAATCTATAAATCAATAAATCAATAAATCAATAAATCAATAAATCAATAAATCAATAAATCAATAAATCAATAAATCAATAAATCAATAAATCAATAAATCAATAAATCAATAAATCAATAAATCAATAAATCAATAAATCAATAAATCAATAAATCAATAAATCAATAAATCAATAAATCAATAAATCAATAAATCAATAAATCAATAAATCAATAAATCAATAAATCAATAAATCAATAAATCAATAAATCAAAACATCAAAACATCAATAAATCAATAAATCAATAAATCAATATATCAATATATCAATATATCAATATATCAATATATCAATATATCAATATATCAATATATCAATATATCGATAAATCGATAAATCGATAAATCGATAAATCGATAAATCGATAAATCGATAAATCGATAAATCGATAAATCGATAAATCGATAAATCGATAAATCGATAAATCAATAAATCAATAAATCAATAAATCAATAAATCAATAAATCAATAAATCAATAAATCAATAAATCAATAAATCAATAAATCAATAAATCGATAAATCGATAAATCGATAAATCGATAAATCAATGAATCAATAAATCCATAAATCAATAAATCCATAAATCAATAAATCCATAAATCAATAAATCCATAAATCAATAAATCCATAAATCAATAAATCCATAAATCAATAAATCCATAAATCAATAAATCAATAAATCAATAAATCAATAAATCAATAAATCAATAAATCAATAAATCAATAAATCAATAAATCAATAAATCAATAAATCAATAAATCAATAAATCAATAAATCAATAAATCAATAAATCAATAAATCAATAAATCAATAAATCAATAAATCAATAAATCAATAAATCAATAAATCAATAAATCAATAAATCAATGAATCAATGAATCAATAAATCGATAAATCGATAAATCAATAAATCAATAAATCAATAAATCAATAAATCAATAAATCAATAAATCAATAAATCAATAAATCAATAAATCAATAAATCAATAAATCAATAAATCAATAAATCAATAAATCAATAAATCAATAAATCAATAAATCAATAAATCAATAAATCAATAAATCAATAAATCAATAAATCAATAAATCAATAAATCAATAAATCAATAAATCAATAAATCAATAAATCAATAAATCAATAAATCAATAAATCAATAAATCAATAAATCAATAAATCAATAAATCAATAAATCAATAAATCAATAAATCAATAAATCAATAAATCAATAAATCAATAAATCAATAAATCAATAAATCAATAAATCGATAAATCGATAAATCGATAAATCGATAAATCGATAAATCGATAAATCGATAAATCCATAAATCCATAAATCGATAAATCGTTAAATCGTTAAATCGATAAATCAGTAAATCAGTAAATCAATAAATCAATAAATCGATAAATCGATAAATCGATAAATCGATAAATCGATAAATCAATAAATCAATAAATCAATAAATCCATAAATCCATAAATCAATAAATCAATAAATCAATAAATCAATAAATCAATAAATCAATAAATCAATAAATCAATAAATCAATAAATCAATAAATCAATAAATCAATAAATCAATAAATCAATAAATCAATAAATCAATAAATCAATAAATCAATAAATCAATAAATCAATAAATCAATAAATCAATAAATCAATAAATCAATAAATCAATAAATCAATAAATCAATAAATCAATAAATCAATAAATCAATAAATCAATAAATCAATAAATCAATAAATCAATAAATCAATAAATCAATAAATCAATAAGCATAGGTAGTAGATTAAATTTACCAGACAGAAAAAACCGAAAAACTCCAGTGGTTGTTCAAAATTTAAGCAAATTTTTTTTTTTTGAAATTTTTAAATTAAAATAACTCGGTTATTTTGGAGTTATTTGAAAAATAGTAAAGAGAAAATGTTTCTTTTATCGAGATCTACCAGCCCTGAGAATATTTGAACTTATTCAAGACTCGCCCTGTATAATACCCAGAAAATAGACAATTGCTAACTTTCAAATATAATACGAGTAGCTCTAAAACTCTTAAAAACATAGTTTAAATATTGCCTTTGTAAGGCTCACTAGCTCTATCTATAAAGAAGTAAACAATCATTTAAATCAATGCAAGAACGATTCGAGGTGTAACGCGAACGTAGTCGCGGGAAAAATCTTTTAAGTAAGAATTTCACATAGAATCTTTCAAGTCCTCGATGGCCGCGTTGTTAAAGCGTTAGGACTTTACGCTGCTATGATGTTGGAGCTGTAGTAAGGCAGGTTCGAATCCTAGTCAAAGCGACTTTTTTTTAATCGTTTTTTTTTTAATTTTTACATATTTTTACATATTTACTTTTAGTTTTTACATATTTATTACTGATTAATACAATTTTTAGTAATGTGTTTCTTCATTTTTTTTTAAATTACTTATACGCGCATTCAAAATTTCAGCCAAATCGGAAAAAAAGTTTGTAATAATATAGTGTCTAATGTTGTATTGCACTTGACCAATTTTTTTAAGATACTCAAAATACTAACTAGTTAAAAAAAAGTTTACACTAAATTAAGCTTAAATTATGTCACATCTA